GTTTAATTGTCAGGTTGTACCTTATTATGTATTATACTTATACATAATCATATTGTTGTGTTATTACTTATTATATTAATGCTAAAATAATTAGTCCGTCAATCTTCACTTTCAACAAGTTATGGGCAAAGTACAATAACGGTAATATAAATAATATTTTTTTATAATGATAGCATAAATAATTCAAATTTTTTATAGAATGCATCATACAGAGATAATGTTACCAAACGTTTGAGATCAGAAGAATTTGATGTCGAGTTAAATAATTCGCTGAAATTTAGACAAGGGGATGTCGTTGTGACAAGAAAGACACCTATTGAAGAAAAAGGAAAGGAGCTTTGGGTAATTAGCCACTATAAGGGTGCTAACATTGAGAATGTACCAGTAAAAGACAGGTAAATACATTGGTTTAAATTTAAAAAAACCTATTGTTGAATCTGTTTTTTTTTCACTGATTTTATTTACTTCTTTTGTTTTTAAAATAAAATAATTTGCTGTTATAGATGGAAGTTCAGTGAAGCTACTGTCAGATTGTATACTAGCGAAGAATCAAAAGATCAAACGCTTCATACTGGTCTTAATGAGACAATGCAAACCATATTTGACAAATTACTAACCGATCCGAAGCGTCAGACTATTAAAAGCAAGACGACTGTTTGATAATTATATGAAAAAAATGATTTTCATTTAATAAACAAAATATTATTATACATGTATTTTTTTATTTATTCAAAACTTAAAGGTTTTGGAAAACATAAACCTATAAACATAGGCGCCAGGTACATAAGTGCCCGGGGGCTCAAGCACCGATTAAAATTATTATGGGGTGCCGGGCACCCATTAGAATATTGCAATTGTATAGAGTGTATTTATATCCAAGTTTTAACAATTTTAGCAAACGACTATTGAAATACAATTCTAGCTGTGATAAAAATTGCAATTTTGAAAACAAAAATAAATTGTATTATTTGTATTGATACTAAAATGTAAAGGCGGGTTGCCACTATACACGTTCATGTGTACGTTTATACAAATCCTTAGCCGTGATTGGTTGGTTAGGTTAAGTTACCACACGATTAACCACGAATCACGATACCGTGTGGTTTTACATAGCTGAACATTTTTCGTGTACACGGCAAACGTGTATATAGTGGAAACCCGCCTTGAGATGGTACTGTTTTTGTAACCACTAACCTACATCGTGGTAGATATTCAATCACAACCGAGGTATCCATCAACAACCTATCTATGGCTGATGAGACAAATTGCAAAATTATTATTATTTTGGCTATTCCGGTATCGTCTTGTAATTCGGAATGATCTTTTTCAGCACTTCGAAGATTAAAAACATTTTTAAGGTCTACAATGAAACAAAATCGTCTTAACGTTTTTTGCTTTATTGTTTGTCCGTCGTAATGAAGATATAGACATTGATAGCTAAGAGCTAACTCATTTATAAATTCAATTATAATAATAGGTAGGTACTGTTAGCTACTTTTTGCCTAACGCGGCAACACTGTCGGACGGCCCTTCCAGACCGTCTCCGAGCAGTGAGTACACCGCTGCTTCCTGTTTCGCCGTATCCGCCGGGCACGACGTATGTGCCCGCGCACCGAACTGCCGTAGCTGTAAGCCGTTAGCTCTAAGCCGTCGTTATTATAGTTTTCTTAAATAAACCATATTCATTGCAAATTAACTCAAACGTTGTTGATTAGACTTATTATCCAGACACCACCATCTTTATTATTTATTCCTTTCAATTCAGAAGTGGGATATTGATTCTTCCGTTGTAAGAGTCTATCCACCCGTGTGTTCCGCGTGCTCGCCGCGTTCGTTTTTTTTTTGTTTAGTGCCATCGTTATAGTGCGTTCACCGTTACGTTGTTTTGTTTTTTTTCGTTACCCCACGAACGCCCCGTAACGAAATTCACGAGAGTATTCGCGTTTCCGTGTTCTACTGTTCTGTGTGCCGTGGGGTTTTCCCCGACACGTGGTGTGCGTGATCACGTCCGTTGGTTATCGGGCCGTTTACCGCCGACCCGATAACGGGTAATCGTTTCGCAATTACCACGGTACCTATCGCCGTTATCTGCCCTTATCAGCGTGTACCGATCGTTTTGTTTACGCTCACCGAACTCGTAATCAATTAGAAATTTTGAATCGTCATGAGCGACGAGACAAGTCCGCCGTCGTCGGACAACCTAAAGGCTCCGAAATACGCAGACTTATTTAATGCCGTCACTGAGTTACGCGCTAAACTCTACCTTCTCGAAGCTTCGTGCCCTAAAACTGAAACCGTATCGACGCCAACCGTCGACTACCGGATCCTTCCGGACGTGGGAACCGCGATTTGGACCTTCACTGGCCACGAGTCCAGCGCGCAGGCTGAAGACTGGGTGAGCTCTGTGGACGGTCTAGCCCAGGTAAACCAGTGGCCTTTGCGTCACCGGTTGTTGTACGTCCGCTCACACCTCTCCAGTGCTGCACGCAGTTGGTATCTGATGCAGGACTTCCACGCGTGGGAAGATTTCCTCAAAGGCTTCCGAAAAGCATTCGTACGAACCTTACGAAAAGCCGATTTGTGGCGTGAACTGGAAGCCCGCATCCAAGCGCCGGGTGAACCAACGATCGACTATTTTTACTCAAAGGTTGGTTTGTGCCGATCACTAGACTTGACCTTTGGTGAGACGCGCGACTATGTGTTAGAAGGCCTCAGATCCCAACAACGGGCAGTACGCCGGTAAGTTTTAAGCCGTATCGTACGTCCCCTACCGATCGCCGTATAATTGCTGACATGTTACGCGACTGGAAGGCGGCTGGTATAATAACGGATTCGTCATCACCTTACGCTAGTCCCGTACTCCTTGTGAACAAGTCTTCGGGAGAAAAGCTCCTCTGTGTCGATTATCGACGACTAAATCAGCAGACCGTTGATCAACCATACCCGATGCCCGATGTCGACACGCAACTTGGTGCTCTGTCGCACGGTGTGATCTTCACGACCCTCGACCTCGCGAATGGATTTTTGCAAATACCACTCACCCCCACCGCCAAGCAGAAGACAGCGTTTGTTACTGAAGATACCACGGCGAAGTTCGAACGCATGCCTTTCGGCTTGAAGGGCGCACCCGGGACGTTTCAAAAATTAATGGGAATAGTATTTAATGACTTGAAAAGCGAAGGCGTGGTTAGTACCTACTTGGACGATATCATACTGCCGGCGAAAAACTGGGATCGCATGATGATCGACCTGCGCCGAGTCCTAGGTGCTTTACGCGTCGCGAACCTTACCCTTAAACCGTCAAAATGCACGTTCGGCGCTCGCGAGCTGGACTACCTGGGCTATCGTATTTTGGAAGGAACGGTCAAGCCGGGACGAAAAGTGCACGCGATTGCTGAATTCCCGCGCCCGCGAGACGCACATGAAGTACGTCGATTTCTGGGGCTGGCGGGCTACTTCAGACGCTTCGTCGTGAGCTACGCGGAGATAGCTGCCCCGCTTACACATCTGACTGGTACAGACGTACCTTTTATTTGGTCTGATGAACAGGAATCTGCATTCGTTAAATTACGCGAAATCCTATGCGACGAACCTGTCGTACGAATGTACTACCCGAAGGCCGCTGTCACGCAAATCCACACCGATGCCAGTAAACATGAGTAGGAATAAAAAGAGAGTTCTGGAACCTCAACCTGCTGGCTCATCCCTATACCCGTCTGCTCAACCCACTACACCGTCTGCTCAACCCACTACACCGTCTGCTCAACCCATGGTTGCTCTCTGCTCAACCCATGGGTTGAGCTAACTATCACGCACGTATACGATATGCCCCCTCCACCCCGCTCTTCCCTATACCCCCTGCATATCCCTATACATTGACGGCTGCTGAACCCACCAAATATCACACACGTTAACGATGTACCCCCGCCACCCCGCCACCTATGACCACCGCTCGACATTGCCGCCGCACGTGGAAAATAATTTAAAAATTTATCCGTCAGACCGGGATTCGAACCCGGTTCCCTTGCATGATAATCGACCACCGTACCACTGGTCCGCCTACCCGCATATATTTGAGAAGGTATATTCTATCTCATTTAACTGGCGTTTACGACGTCCGCTTACGTACGCGAGGTATAATTTCCCCCGCCACTATACCATACCAAGAGCCTCCGCGAACGCGCGCGCGAGCCCTCCGGTGCGTTATCAGTTATCACAGTGACTTTAACACAAAATAATCTACTGGTATATTTTTAACAATAAACGTTCATCACATTCCTTTGCAAGCGTTAGCAGTCTTAACAAACATGTAGCTACTCGCATAACATTTAGAAATATATATATATATACATTCACATTCCTTTTTAAGCGTCATCAGCGTTAACAGACCTGTAGCTGCATGCATTACCCCCTCCCGATTAAGCTGTAGGGACTTTTCGATTTCTCCCCCACCAATTAATATTTAATTTGTTCGTTTATGAACACAACTACACAACATAAATTCAGTCACTCTATATCGTTCCAAGTGTCTACTCCGCGCGTGTGCTTGTCTCATATTCAGTGTTAAAATCATAATTATTTCTCAGTGCGTAAAATAAATATGGCTGGTCCAATTGAAAATATGGAAAATATTTACAAGAAAACTTACAAATATACACCACCATCGCCGCCAGCTAATCTGATCGACTGCAGTAACTTGACTATTGATTTCACGGCTCGGAAGTTTTTAAACATTGGACTAGACCCTACCGATGAATTCAAAGCAGCGGTTCATATTATAACAGCTTCGCGGTATGTAAATATTCCCGTCGATTTTCTGGAACGCATATTCAGACTTATGGGAAACATTCTATCGTTCGTACTTGACCGTCCACACGAACACAAACGAATTTTATTTTTGGACACAGAGTCAATTACAATGTCTAGTATGATATATAAATCGGAGAACACACTTGTTTTAGAATCGAAAACTCAAGACGGATAAATTCTCTAATGTTAGGATGGGTGCACCAGATTACGTGCCCTCCGATGAAGATGAAGAAGATACCACATTATCAATAACTCGGACGCTGGATGAGCCTCTCACGATGGATGTTGTGGAAAAGGACTCACCCATAATATCATTAACTATGATGATGGAGACGGAACAATTGCGAGGTCTTGGGGAATTTTATAATGCATTAACAAAACGTTACACCCTAAATCACGAGCTTAATAAACATAACGATTCATTTTTTATTAACAATAGAATTATGAATCATGTGAATAATTTTACTTCAACTAACTATGCACATGAAAATTTATTATGGGAGGAGAGTACTAATTGCTCTCGTAATTTTACTGTTACACGTAATACGGTTACCAGAAAGTTGAGATTTAAACCTCTTCTTTTAGCTTCAGGGTCATATATGGTGTCAACCGAATTACCGATAATTAGAGCAAATTATTTCTGTTATACATACAGCGAGTTGTTATATATATTATATGTCGCAAATCTGTTTAGTGGAAACTCGAGCCTGATTTTAGCATCATATCTAGAAACAAAATACGTCACCGAGTTTGACGAGTACTCAGTACATACCACGAAATATTTTTGTAATAGGATTACTAACCGCTGTCAATCATTTTTCAATTTCACGAATTCGGATAAAATTATGTTAAGTTCTAAAAAACATTTCTTTACACAGCATGTATATGATGACCCTACCTTACTACGTTATATACGACAATTTAAAAAATGTGACATTTGTGGGCGTCGCTTGCAGGTATGGACTAGTATGGACGAGTTAGTAAAAATCCATGGTTCTAGATATTATGAAGATGTATTAGGTACAGCAGAATGTAGGGAAGTAGCTGTTAAAATATTTAATATAGTACAAAATTTGTAGATAAATTAACGATGTATATACAGGTACTAATAAACGCTTCTTTACAACTATTCACCGCATTATTTTTTTTCCCTTACGTATAACATTCTTCTTTCTACAATATTTGCACCTATTTATAATATATACAGGTATATATATATATTTTATACACCACCTTCATATAGTTAACTATATCTCGTTAAACCATATGATGTACACCGCACAACTGATACTACATGCTACAAGTTTGTTGAGCAGAGGCTGGAAATCTTCCTCCGCATATAACTATATATATATATATATAGTGATAATGTAAAAATTTGCCTGATTACGATAGTTCATAGACAATGCTCTTCATAGTTATAGAAATATACTTTTTCTCATCAAAAACATATATTACGAACTAGAATTAGTTGTACTCCAAACGTCGTATCACTAGCTCATAACACGCAATAATCAACGCGATACTTTGCATACTATGGACGCCTAATCGAGTAAGTATCATTGCCTAATATTTATATCCAGGATTTTTATTTTTATTTTTATTTTTTAAAGTCTTACAAGTAATCGAGAGGTATTTTCATACCTCTCTAGAGGGTCTAATGACGTCTCATTGCGAGGCGTCATTAGACAATCACCGTCATTTCGAATGGAATTGTGAAGCATGCATTGAAAAAAAAAATTTTTCATAAAAAATACCATATGTCCACGAGCGTAGAATGGCGCGAAATTTAATTTAAATATAAACCCGACAATAATTACAAATTTAAGTTTTATTAAGCCGGAGTTAAAAATATATTTGCATCGTGACTTCGAATATTTTTTCCGGAAAATATTTCAGCAAACCTACCAATTAGTAGACAACCATGGTCACATTATCTGGAATGATAATTTGTTATCCGGGAGTGTGATGTGGTTACAAGATACAAGTAGGGATTATTGGGAGGAGGTATTTCTAAAAATAAGACGAAGTGTAAATTATGATATTAGAAATTTAGAATTAAGGAGTTCAGGTATAGCGAAAAATTATTGGGATCTTTTATTGTATAGAATTTTTCAAAAAAAAATGGGGCCTAGCATATATATTATTAATAATTTAGAATATTTAGATTTAGCCTTAAGTGATACTGTACATAATAATCATAATCGTAGTACTCGTATTCATAGTTATAATAATAATAGTGTATATAATTTAAATGTAGAATTAGGTAATTTAAGTTTAGATAGATTAATGTTGTTAAGGGATTGGACTTTCGGGTATGGTTTATTGGAGAATTGGAATATTGGTTAAATGTTACTTAGCTTTATTCTATAAATATTTATGTATTGTTTGTAAACTAAAGATTGTATTATTTAATTTTAGTGTTAGCCTACTGTATAATTTAATTATTTTACGAATATTTATTTTTATGTATAGTTTGTAAATATATTTCCCTGCATGCGAATAGTATATCTCATCTAGAAAAGGTAACTATACAGTCTTCCGTTATACGTTTGAGCCCGATTTCATAGTTTTTTTTAACAGATGGTTTGAACACTATACCATACGGATATTAGTACACCCGATATATAGGACAATCCGACGACCCTATATTTTGTCACGTGACGGGGATCAGTGGTGGCGGCGGCGGCGGTAGGGATTTTTGAATGAATGAATAGTCACTATTCATTACTGTCCGCAGTTGGTGATATAGTGCTCTATTATATTAACCTACATCTCGTTCGCTCTGCGCTAATACTACGCACGTAATTATTATATAACGTATTAATTTTTTCTTATCCGTTTATTTTAAAATGTTTAAATGCGAGCAATGTTCTTTGGGATTCGTATACGAGTCAAATCTGATCGCTCACCGAAAAACACATTCGAAATTGTTCAAATGCAGCAAATGTGATTCGGAATTTACAGCTAAACGTAATCTGACAAGACACGAAAAAACGCACGAGGGTATTCGTATACCGTGTATTAGGTGCGGCATTACGTTCAGTTACAAGACCAGCCTCAATAAACATTTGAAAAATGCTCATGGTATGTACCTATTTTCTATATTCACTTTAAATATTTATTTTATTTTATTTTTGTCATCAGGTATAGTACAGATCGCGCCACACGTTTTTGTATCAGACTTGCATCCTGGTACATCGCCCGTTCATAAAGATCGCGTATCAACTACACGAGATAAACAAAATGTTCGCTTATCACCCATGCGAGATAACACGGCGGATGCATTGACGAGTAACGCGAATGAATGCTGGGAGGTTCTCGACACCACCGATCTTCTCGGGCAAAATGATCGCTTATCACCCATGCGAGATAACACGAAGGATGAATTTTGGAGTAATGTGAATGATGATTTATGCTTGGAAGTTTTGGACACCGCTGAGAATCTTGGACTTTATGATTTTCAAGGTTAGCTATTTCTTTTTATAAACGCGTCATAGGTTAATTTTTTTTTTTTTTCTAAAGATTCATACACTACACTCGATAATGGTAAACGTGTTTCCAGCGCCAACACTAAATCCGCTGTTAGGGCAAAAAAAATACGTCTGAATCTCGTAAAGTCTCGAGGGTTTACAAAAATATCTACATCATCAAACAATACTATCACCTGGTACTACGTAAAAAACACCGACAATATTCAAAACTATACATACTTTCTCGATTCGATTAAATCCGAACTAGTCGATTTACTAAAATCATTCGCGAATAAAAATCCGATCAAATTTAATTTAAAGCTTGAGGCAACATACAATATACCGAATGTGGAATATTCATCGGAAAACCGTGCTTTTAAAACTTCTGCGAAGGCGATTTTCTGCGATACCGGGGTACAGGAAATCGTTGAAGAGGCGTTTACTAAATTGATGCGGGAGCAAGATGAGTACGCCGGGAAGGGAAGCGGTTTCACATTACAGTGTATTGACAGGTTAATGCTGGGTATATATAAATATACACCTATGGGCGGTTCATCATATATACAACTGCCAGACGCAATAGAAAATAAGAAAGCTATGATTAACCCTCAAAACTTTGACATGCAATGCTTCAAATGGGCAATCCTAGCAAAACATGTTACAGGAGAAAATAAATACCGTGTTGGCGATAATTATTTAAAACACGAAAAAAAATATAATTTTACAAATCTATCGTTTCCAACACCACTACATCAGGTTAAAATTTTTGAGAAAAATAATCCAAACGTCTCTGTCAATGTTTACGGTATCGACAAACAATTTCAACCGCCAAAATTTCCGGAATATAAAGTATTTCCGTTAAAAGTAGTTGATGAAGAAAAACCCGACCATTTCGATCTACTTATTACATCAGACGAGGATAACAGTCACTATAGCTATATCTCTAATTTTTCACGGCTCATCAGGTCACAAAAAACCAGACATAACGGACAATCAATTTTCTGCAAACGGTGCTTTACAACATTCGATAAACAACAATACAAATATAAATTAAACGGTGCGGCAGGGCTAGAGCAACATAAATTAATATGTGGGGAACACAAACCCATACTTCCTCAGATACCTGAACCCGGAACAATGCTCGAGTTTACTGCATGAGATAAAACGCAACGTCACCCTATATTAATTTACGCTGATTTCGAGGCAATTCTAAAGAAAAGTGATGAGAAAATTGGAGAAAAAACGACGGTTTTTCAAGAACACGCGCCCATGAGTTATGGGTTTATGGTTAAAGTGAACGATGAGATACCAGTAGAACTACTTGAACAATTTGGAATCCCAACATCACCTGTCATTTACCGCGGGGATGAAAATAATAAGGACGTAGCGAAACATTTTGTAGATAGTATTGTGGAAATAGGTCAAAAAATTGAAAAACTACTCAAAACAAACACCCCTATAATTTTCACGGTTGAACAACGGAGAACACATGCAGCATGTAATACTTGTAATTTATGTAAGACCAAGTTTTCTCGTGAAAATCATAAAGTAGCGGATCACTATCATTTATCAGGAAAATTTAGACAATCATTATGTAATACGTGTAATCTTAAACTTCAAACACCCAACTTCGTACCGGTATTTTTCCATAATCTGTCAAATTATGATGCACATTTTATCGTCACTCGCCTTGGTTATGACACAAACTCCATTTCGGTAATACCAAACAGTGAAGAAAAGTTTATTACGTTTTCAAAATACATTAGCAACTTCTTCACATTAAGATTTATCGATACACTAAGATTTATGGCCTCCAGTTTATCAAAACTTTCAAAAAATTTAATTACACCTGGATTTGAACATTTTAGAGACAGCGCAAAACATTTTTCTACACATGATTTATCACTAGTTACCCGCAAGGGGGTATACCCGTATGACTATACAGATAGTTGGAACAAGTTGGAAGAAACGGTTTTACCTCAGAAAGAAGATTTTTACAGTTCACTATACGAAAAACATATAAAAGATAAACATTATGATCATGCGAAGACGGTTTGGAACCATTTCGACTGTCAAACACTCGGGGAATACTCTGATCTTAACTTAAAAATCGACGTGCTGTTGCTGACTGATGTGTTTGAAAATTTCCGCGACCTATGTATAACCACATACCATCTGGACCCATAATTTTACTACACGGCACCAGGATTTAGTTTCGACTGTATGTTGAAATACACGGGTCAACAACTCGAATTGCTATCAGATTATGATATGTTGTTAATGTTTGAGAAAGGTGAGGTTATTTAGTAAAAAAAAAAAAAAAAAAAAATGTGATAAAATAACTGTTTTTATTATAGGAATTCGTGGCGGTTTAACTCAAGCGAGCATGAGATATGCAGAGGCGAATAATGAAAAGACACCGGATTATGACCCAACACAACCGAGATCATGGCTTGTTTATCAGGATTGTGAGTAAAATTTAATATTTAATTTAATATTTAATTTAATATATTATTTAAATTCCAGGTAACAACTTGTACGGTTACGCAATGTCACAATTCATGCCATACGGAGGATTTAAGTGGGTCGAACCAAAACTAGATGGG